GGTTGTATTTATGCATAGAGAAAAGGCAGGTCTGTTATGTATTTTTCACTGGATACAGGCACCCTAGTCAGGAGTCGAACACCCGACCTGTGGTCCAAAGGCGATTGGTGTTCCTACATGTATATTGCCCCTCCTCATAAGACTCATACATTTTAGTCATGTATTTAAGCATTTAGATTTTTGATATCTAGTAGTAAGTAGTTCTCTTGATAACTGTGTGTCTGTGTGTGTGTGTGTTTTCACTTAAGCAGGAGATGCTCCGATGTGTATGGAGACACCTGGTTGCTGTCCTGAAGGGAAAATCTCAGACACTCTGCTGTACTTCCAGCCTTTTACATACACTGGGATCTGTCACAGTGAGTATTGTAGGCCATTAGACAAATACATCCACGTAAAAAAAATGCTACCCAAAATACATTTCATGTTACGTCTCGATTAAATTAAAAATAGAATAAAATTATATGCAGCTCTGTTCTGTAAGCTTTTGATATGTGATCATAGAACAGAGCACCTAATCTGTGCTGGCTAACCTCATATCAAATTTCTATGTAAACTTAGGGTATTTTCATACCTGCAGTATTAAGTCCATTTAAATCAAACTCGGGCTTGATGCAGTTCGTTTGTGCAGATCTGAACACAGTAACTGCTCTCGGGTGTGGACAAAAACAACCGCACAGAGGCCACCTCTTCCAAAGGCTTCCAAATGAACCCCAAAGCGGTTCCTTTATGGTGTGAATGGGATTTGACCTCAATCCGAACCAATTGCCACATGAAGTTTGAGCTAAAAAACTTCCCATGCGCACGTATGTTTTGTATTCTGGGATACGGCAGCGTACTAGAGATGTGCAAGGGTCTGGTCAAATGAGACCAAAATTAAACACTTTGATAATGTGCACCATGTTTGGAGGTCAAAAGTCGCTGCATATCACCCCAAAAACCCCATACCAACAGAGAAGTTTACAGATGGTCAGTTGGTTTCAGAGAAACAAAATAAACTGCTAGAATGGCCCATCAGTTACCTGACCCGAGTCCAAGTAAACATGTATGAAGTAAAGCTCAGAGTTGTAGAAGAGAGCCTTCAGGATTTGAAGAACGTTTGTATGGAAGAATGGGTCAAAACACAGCCGAGCAACCTTTATCCATACAGGGGGTGTCATCACCAACAAAGGCTTTTGTATAAAATGTTAAATGCATTTCAGTAAGTCTGTTCAATACTTTTCCCTGTGTCATTTCTCATTCTTACACATAATTTAAGGAAACCTATGTTTTGATTTATGTCCATGTTTGGATTGGATGGGTTGTTACTGACATCTGGTGAGAATTTCATGTCAATAGCACCTTTAGAAATATATTAGAACATATACTTTGCAAATTGGTGACGGTATCAGATTGATACCAAAATTTGAAGCACCACTCCGAGCTGCCATAAAGGTGGAAAATAGAGTACATTGACATAATAGACATGCACAATAATTATAGATTCACCCTGAACATCCACCTTTCTTGATTGGGAAGAAATTGTCTTTCAAACTTTTTCCTCTTTTTCAGTCCTTGTGCCTGACCATTTTCAGAGGAATATTTTTGTTTGTTTGTTTTTTGCCAATTAACACTGCCCTATGAATCATTCAAGCATAAAAAACCACCTAATGCAAGGGATGAACCAGTGTTGTCTCTCTACATAATGAACAGTGCAGCAAAGAACAGATTTTAAATTATATCTTTTGGATACAATAATTACAGTTATTGCTTCCAAGGATGGCACAACCAGTTATTATTAAGTTAAGACCAATTACTAGGTAGGTTTGGATAGCTTTTTTCCCTTAATAACTTCGGTTATCTTTGCCGAATACATTTAAACTTGGTTGATGATCTGAAACATGTAAATGTGATAAAATTGCAAAAACCAATACAAAATCATGAATGGGCAAAATACTTTCTCACAGCACTGTTAAAATATTTTTGAGGAGGTGAGGAGGCTTATGCAGTTTCAAATTGTACGTATTTAGGCACATGGGTACGACTCTATACTACAGTGTGTGTGTAACTCTTCTGTGTGGAT